CTGTGATATTCCAGTCCAAACATTAACTGGAGCAAGTGCCACGTTCTCGTAGTAGAAATAAGAAGACCCAATAGCATCTTCTGGAAGTGTTCTTTGAGTTATCTGATCTGGTTTGGTATAAACCCCAAAACCAATTATTAGATTTGAAAGATGAATTTTCTCGTAGTAGAAATAAGAAGACCCAATAGCATCTTCTGGAAGTGTTCTTTGAGTTATCGGATCTGGTTTGGTATAAACCCCAAAACCAATTATTAGATTTGAAAGATGAATTTGCTCATAATAGAAATAAGGAGACCCAATAGCATCTTCTGGAAGTGTTCTTTGAGTTATCTGATTTGGTTTTGTATAAACCCCAAAACCAATTATTAGATTTGAAAGATGAATTTGCTCATAGTAGAAATAAGGAGACCTAATAACATCGTCTGGAAGTGTTCTTTGAGTTATTTGATCTGGTTCGGTAGGAACCACAAAACCAATCATTAGAATTGAAAGATGAACTGCATGATTGTCTTCATTAAGAAGCTTCTTTTCAAGCTTCCTCTGCTTCTTTTTTAAGAAAATCATAGCCCAAGTTTCGCCTTTTCTTGTAATTGGGATCATTGTATAATGGCTTCCTATCTTTTACTAGAAAAAGTGTGTCAGCAGCCTTAGCAATTTGAGCAACACATATAAAATCTGTCAACTCTGCAATTGATGAATCAGGATTATATCTCCATGGCTATTGAAGACATAGCATTTGAGTATCCCATTTTCGTCAAGTATAACAGTTTACTCTCCTCATCAGAATCAGAATTCAGGATTTTCTCGGTATCAAAAGAACTATCAATATCTGTGAAATCATCCTGAAAGATCGCTTCATAATCAGATGAGTTGTTATCAGAATCAACATGTTGCATGAATGCAAGCCTTTTCAAGAGCCTATACTATTGAGTTTTATTCTCAAGTAGTTTTGTGACATTATGCAAAAATTCAGGCATATCTACATCTACACTCTTCAAAGATGATAGATTCTCGATTCGAAGAGGAAAGATTTATTGGATTTCTACACAACTGAAGAAATACTAAGTTCACCAATTTGAAATCAAAATAAACTTAACATTCATGCATCATATTTAGGCATTTGCAAAAATAGGTGCATTTTCATTCATTTTTTCCATGATGAATTTTGACAGGAATTTCAAAGATTTTATCAAAGATTTAAATCCATCATTCAATGGATCAACAGTGACAGTTCGAGTTCATAATGAGAAGAACTCATCTGAAGAAGGAAGAAGAAGTTCATAATGAGAAGAATTTGTTCAACCTTTTGTTTGAATTCATCATTTGATGGATCAACATTGCCAGATAGAGTTCATAATGAGAAGAACTCGTCATCTGAAGAATAAAGAAGAAGTTCATAATGAGAAGAATTTGTTCAACCTTTTACTCAAATCCATCACTTGATGGATTAGCTTTTCCAGATAAAGTTCATAATGAGAAGAACTCATCTGAAGAAGGAAGAAGAAGTTCATAATGAGAAGAATTTGTTCAACCTTTTGTTTGAATTCATCATTTGATGGATCAACATTGCCAGGTAGAGTTCATAATGAAAAGAACTCGTCATCTGAAGAATAAAGAAGAAGTTCATAATGAGAAGAATTTGTTCAACCTTTTACTCAAATCCACCACTTGATGGATTAGCTTTTCCAGAGAAAGTTCATAATGAGAATAACTCATCTGAAGAAGGAAGAAGAAGTTCATAATGAGAAGAATTTGTTCAACCTTTTGTTTGAATTCATCATTTGATGGATCAACATTACCAGGTAGAGTTCATAATGAGAAGAACTCGTCATCTGAAGAAGAAGAAATTCATAATGAGAAAAATTTGTTCAACCTTTTGCTCAAATCCATCACTTGATGGATCAGCTTTTCCAGAGAAAGTTCATAATGAGAAGAACTCATCTGAAGAAGAAGAAGAAGTTCACAATGAGAAGAGCTTGTTCAACCTTTTGCATAATTCTATCACAGAAGGAGATAGATTAGCATCAACCTTTCCAGAGAAAGTTCATAATGAGAAGAACTCATCTGAAGAATAAAGAAGAAGTTCATAATGAGAAGAGCTTATTCAACATTTTGAATGACTCTATCACAGAAGGAAATAGGTCAACATCAACTTTTTCCAGGGAAAGTTCATAATAAGAAGAACTCATCTGAAGAAGGAAGAAAATTTTATAATAAGAAGAACTTGTTCAACCATTTTCCAAATTACATCACAGAAGGAGATATTATCATCCCCAGCGGAAAGTTCATAATGAGAAGAACTCATCTGAAGAAAGAAAAGAATTTATTCAACATCTCCATATTAATCAAGTGAAGTCAAATGAAAAAAAACTTATTATCTTTTCGTCTTTGCTCTATTCTTGTTAACACAAGAATAAGCAGAGAGGGGCAACTGAAGATACTCATTTTTTTCATTTAAATATTATTTATATTATTATTATTATAATTATTATTATTAATATTATTATTTATTATTAATTTTATTATATTACAGGCCCAATTACAAATAGATCCCGGAGCCCAATTCTGGCCCAACTAAGCTAGCCCAATGAAAACCCTAAACTGATTAGGGTTTGATCTCTAACCCTAGCCGCCTCAGAATCACAGCCGTTGGATCTGAGAGATCCAACGGCCCACACGCATCCAGCACAAACCCTAGGGTGATGATACCCTAGGGTCACGCGGCCGCCGCAGCTACTCCCACCATCTCCACCGCTGCCACGTCTCGTCAAAAGCTTCCAGAAGAGCCACTCCAGCCGCACACATGTCGCCCCAACGGTGAGTCACCACTGGAAGTCCGGTGACTCACCAGACTCCACTCTTTTACCCGGTCCGATAGCCACACCGGTGATGGCTATAAAGCCATTGACAGCCTGCAAAGAAAGGAGAGAGAAGGCAACCACGGTAACCAACAGAGAGAGAAAAAGAAAAAAAAAGGAAAAAATGAGCAAACCAGCAACCACAAACACCAAAATAAGCAAGGAGAAGACGGAGAGATACTTACTGAGGAAGCTGCAACATCACCGGAGCCTTCACACGTCATCGGAAACCTTCGAAAATCGAAGGTATTTTCGTAGATTTGCTCCGATCGGGAATATTTTAAGGGAAACGGTCATCGGAACCATCAATAGGATGGTCCGATCTATATTTAGGTGTAAAAAAAAATTTCCAGCCACCGGATACGGTGGCCGACGGCGGGGTTAACGCCGGCGAACGGCTGCCGGCCGGTGCTTCTCTCTGTTTTAGAGAGAAGCGATAGAGTTTTTAAAACTCTCTCAAAGAAGAGAGAGAGTGTGAAGAGGAGGAATGAGAGCTGGCCCTTCGGGCCAGCCGGTTAGGGACTTAAATAGCCCTTCCCAAACGACGCCGTTTTGGGGAGGGGTCTGTCTGTAATTAACTAAAAGTTAAACCCTTTCCACAGCCATCCTAATTTGTAATCCTTACATTTTAGTCACTAAATCAATTTATAATCCTTTTAATTCGATTCTTTAATTTTAATTTTATTTATTTTAGTCCTTTATATTAAAATAATATATTTAGGATAAATATCATATTTAGTCCTTTAATTTTAATAATTGATATTTTAAACCCCGAACAACATATTTCAATTTATTTTAATTTGATATATGAATTTTATATAATTTTATTTTAGTCACCAAATTAATAAATAAGGAGAATAGCATGTTTAATCCATGTAATTTTAAATAATTAATTACGAATTAGGTATTTAATTTTATTAGATTATAATTTAGTCACTAATTTTAAATATTTTCATTTATTATAAAGTTTTACTGTTTTTAAATATATAGTTCTAATTTTATTTTTATTATTGTTTATTTATGTTTTAATTTTACTTGTTTATATTTAAATATTATATTTATTATTATTATATAGTCATATAAATATATATAATAAATAATAATTTATATTAAATCTTAATTTGATTTTACATAAATTATTTTTTATCATATTTTAATATTTATTTATTTTTCAATATCAAAGAAAAGGGCAGTCTTAATATAACTGGATGTCCTATTCTGGTATTTTAAAATTAAGTATTATAAAAAAAATTATAATTTAATTTTATTTAAATTATTATAATATTTATTAATATCGAAGAAAAGAGCTGTCTTAAGGCACCTAGAAGTCATTTTCTGATATTTCTAAATAAGTAAATATCTTATTTATGTTTAATATATTTTCTTAAAAATATTTAAATTAAATAGAATTATAAATTAAATATATTTTGAATTTTTAATAATAGAGACAATTTATAATTAAAAAGTATCAATTTTGGGCGTTGTAGGGGTGCTAATCCTTCCCTAAACGTAACCGACCACAAATCCCTTTTTATTATTAAAAAAAACGAATTTTTGGTTATAAACGCAGATCAGTTCATCTTTTAACTGATGTTTTCTTAAAACTCTTTTAAAATATAATTTTTAGGTATTCGACCTACCTAACCCAAAAGGCCGATGGCGACTCCCAAATTATAAAAAAAACCATTTATTAAACATCACTTTTCCCGTCAAATAAAAAAATTCGTGCCCGAACGAAAACCGGTTACGACAAGCAGCACAAGTAAATTTCTAATCACATGGAAATGAAGCATGAGAAAATAGCATGCTCTTATCAACAAAATCATGACCATGAAAAGCAACCATTCATTTATATTTGCAACAACCACCATCTACCATCATCAATGAGAGATGGGGAAAGTAAACGATGACCACAAAACTAAAGAAATTGGTGTAAATGGCTCAATCTCTGTCAAGTTTGGGAGATTGCCATTGGCATACGCATAGAGATTTATATTGGAATGAAGAAGTTGGTATGAAGAAGTAGGGCTTGGGCTTTTCGAATAGGCAGGCACTCATGGGCCATTTTAATTACGTAGGCCTATACAAATGCAAACATCCGGTTTTGGTCTGGAAAATTCTTCAATCACAAGAGAAAGAGAGCATTTTCAATCATTTTGAAGAAAGATCGATTTACCCCTCAAGGCGTAATTCTCCAACGATCATCGGAATCCTTCCTATTTCAAACACTTTTTCGCCACCGCCATGGAGGACGAAGCCCCCCACACTCACTCTCATCCCTCCACCTCCATCCCCGTCACGGGAACTTGCTGCAAGTGCGGCGGCGCGACGACCTACGCGCCACCAACCCAATCCCCAACTTCCTGGCCTGACCTTTCATCTCCCCCTATATACCGACCCATTCGAGCTCCCGCCTTAAATCACCCTCCGAACAACACCCAAGCCATTATGCTAACTCCCGTCCCTCAATCCCAAAAAGTTCTTACCATCACTTCTCCGTTTCATTTCCAAATCCCATCCAAGAAAATCACATCGCCCGACGACATCCGCAAGTTCAACGACTCCCCTACTTCTAAAAACTTCTTGGGTTTTATCGTCTCCTTGTCGGAATCGATCCGCGGCCGTAAAATCTCCGACCCATGCCACGAATCCCCCACTGTATCCAAAATCGTTTCCATAATCGAAAACCTAACTCTTTGGGTCGATCAAATCCCACCCGTTCAGCAATCCTCTCGATACGGTAACATCTCTTATCGAACCTGGCACGATCGTTTAACTGAAAACGCCGAATCCCTCATGCTACAGTTCCTCCCCGACGATCTCAAGCCCTCAACGATTGAAATAGTCCCTTACTTCATCGACAGCTTCGGAAACTCGAGCCGAATAGACTACGGAACGGGACACGAAACCAATTTTGCAGCCTGGTTATATTGCTTAGCCAGAATGGGGTTAATTATGGAAGAAGATTACCAAGCAGTGGTGGTTAGAATTTTTGTCAAATATTTAGACTTGATGAGGAAGCTTCAGCTTGTTTATTGCTTGGAACCGGCGGGGTCACACGGGGTTTGGGGCTTAGATGATTACCATTTCTTGCCGTTTATATTTGGGAGTTCACAATTGATTGATCATAAGTATATGAAGCCGAAATCGATTCATAATGAGGATATTTTGGATAACTTTTCGAGTGAATATATGTATCTCTCGTGTATCGGGTTTATAAAGAAGGTGAAAAAAGGTCCGTTTGCAGAGCATTCCCCCATGTTGGATGATATAAGTGCAGTGCCTAATTGGAAGAAGGTGAATGGTGGGATGCTGAAGATGTATAAAGCCGAGGTTCTGGAAAAGGTTCCTATTATGCAACATTTCCTCTTTGGATGGCTCATTAAGTGGTAAGTTATTTCTGGGGTTTAGTTGTTCATTTGAGTTTTACTCGGTGTTCTTATGATATAACATTTCTGATTAGAATGTCATGTTCGTTTTGTTTAGTTTGATTTGAGTCCATATTTTATTATAATTTGTATTCGAGTAATTTACATTCTAGATTACTGAAGTCATTATCATTCTTCATATAAATCAAGAATCTTTTGTTTAATCAAGTTACATTTTTTTTTTATAGAAGTTGGAGGTCTCATTAAAAACTCCCTTCATATTCTTCCACATACTTAGAAGTATGTTGAAGAACACTGGAAGGGAGAAAAGAGTACCTCATATTTTATTAAATAGAAGACCAAGTACAAGTGGTAACACTGAACCCTCAAAGGGGAATAAAAACCAATACAAACCATATCACCTAAAAATCTTACATCTTCAAACAAAAAGCCCCTAAGACAATAACCCTATTTCTAAAATACACCTCAAGATGTAAGATAACATAGCAAAACAAAAACCAACAATTACAACCGCAAACTAAAAAATGCCTCTGAATACAGCTGTCGAACAATCACAGTCCAATTGGAGGAACAAGTTCTAAAGAGATATCGCAATCTTCAAGGACCCAAGAATTAGGTTTGAAGGAAGGGTCAACTTCTCATGCACCAAGATTTTGAATAAATTATCCCCGACCTTCAACTCTAACAACTCATCAATTCTCCCTTGAGCATTGGTGAGTATTTGAATTTTAGCTCGGTCAAAAGACGAAGGGAACTCACAACTGTTATCAATTGCTATTAACTTGCCCCACTTAGTAGCTATGTTTTTGAAAGTATCCCAATTCCAAGCGTGAAAAGGAATACCTTCGCAAACTAACCACACGCGTCGACTCTCCACCACAAGACTCTCTGACCAAGTTTCCACTCTAGAAAACCATTCTGCAAGAGTCTCTAACTTATCTTCCTTCACGCTTCTCAACAAATCCGAGTCCTCAAAAACCATTAGAACTACATTTCCAGCAGCTCTCATTAGCGTGAAACCCGCTAGTCCTTTGGCTTGTATTTGGTTAGCAAGATTACCAATCTTGATAAAGTTCTTGCACCACCCAACAAGACAGTTGTTCAACACTTGAAGTTTATCTTCGTCCACAGCACCCTCAACTTCACAGTGTTTAAACCTCGGAAGATCTTCCATCCCAGACTTACTTTGAACAGCTGTCGAGGACTTTCGCCAGAAAGACTGTCTAGGTTTATATTTAGTCAGAGAGACTCTAATTTTGTTGCCGTAAATATGATTACCATTCATCTTAGAAATCGCTGTCCTTGCTTCTTCAATTGTAGCAAAGCGAATAAACCCAAAGCGAAACCCTTTCGAGTTTCTTTTTTTGGGAATGAATGCATCAATAACTTGACCATGTGAGCCAAATATAGATCCAAGTCTCTTCCAATGGATCTTCTCTGAAACGTTCTCAATAAAAATCGTGTAACAACCCTTTTTGAACCCATTGACGATATTTGGTTGGCCTTCCTTTGACTGATTATTAAACCTGTTTCTTCTACTTCCCACCACTTCGGACAATTTTACATTGGAATACCCTTTCGAATTGATCTCCTTGGATCCATTATGATCAACATGAGCACCAGAAAGAGCTGGTTTTACGTGTGCTAAAGACAGCTTTCCATTTCTATGTTTCCCTTCTTGTAAGCACTTCTTCAAAGGATTGGATGATAATGGACTATCACCCGACCTCGCTGAATAAGTTCCCAAATTTTGTTGATTTTGGAGCATAGGAGAGTGTCGGTAAGTGGTGCCTTCGGGCTCAACTGTCCAACCAGCCTCACGTGCCAAGGCTGCCAGAACATCGTTCCTAGCAGCATGCGGGGGAATTGGGAAGTTACCAAACTGCCTCAATCCGGCCAGCATGCGTCTGGTAATCGTTTGTTCCGTTTCCGAAACTTTGACCTCTCCTTTTCTTTCTCATTTTCACGTATGTCTTTACTGGAGTAAGAAGAAGAGGCTGCACCGGCGGATCCAGAGGTTCTGAGAAAATTGCCTGGTGAAACTGCATTCTCCTTCATTTTTAAATCCTTTACCCGCTTGTTCAAATCTGCCACTAGTGCTTTTAGAGCCTTAACTCTAGCTTCTAGTTCCTTGGCAGACTCCATAGGAAAATCACCGGCTGCACCACTGCTGTCTGGTTCAAGGAGTTGTGAAATCCTAAATGATGAAGGAGGGACGGTAGAATGCCTCACGCCAGCTGAAACAAACCCTCGAAGACGGCTGGGCTAAGACGAGGGTTGGGGTTCCATGGTGATTTCTCAGTTGTTTAACGATGCTCGACACTAGAAAGCTCGAGATTAGGTCGCAATAAGGCGCTGCGATCGGTAATGTGGCGGAGTCGAACTCGGCCGGCGGGAGGCGGCGTAAATCTGCAGTTGACGGAGTGTAGATCTGCGACGAATGACAGAGTTTTCGCAAAAAAAGGTCCAGATCTGTGTTCACCTTGAGCGGACGACCATCCCAGGAAAAAACGGCGTCAAACGGTGGTCCGAGTATGGCGGCGGATTGCTGACGGCGGCGGCAGACGGCGGTAGCGGACGACGAAACACTGTCGGAGGAGAAACCACTTTTATTTTTTGAAACACCTGGGCCCTAGAGAGAAGCGGGAGCTTCTCTCACTAACACAAATTAGTTGATAATTAAGTAGTGTCTTCTCTTTAATCAAGTTACATAAATCACATCTTAACACCATTTTTGTCTTTACACCTCATTAACATATTGCTTAGTATTTTTAAAGAACCATTTTATAAACACAAGTCTTCATCTCCTCTTTTTTCCAAAAAATGGACATCTTCATAAATAAAATGTCTGATCCAATTTTTGCTTAAATCAACTAAAAGAAACACAATCCCTGAAACGCGTGCACACTCACACACACAAAGAGTAGTAAATTAGATATTTAGAGAGTATCAGCGTGGCCTAGAGATTCATGCCTTTATTAATACCCAAGTTACGGTAAAGAGGTCCATGCCAGATATTTAGCGAGTATCAGCATAGCCTAAGATTTTTTTATCTATCCTTGGATAATTTAGTCTACTCGGCATGCAGACTTTTGCGGCTTCGTTAGATGGCAAGGCCGCTATCCTCATGTGTTACTGAATTCATGCCTTGCTATAGGTTTCTGCTATGTTGAACCTTATCATAGAATATGTCACAAGTTACTACCATTTCGAATTCATATCAAACGAGTTTCCCCATGAATTCATCTTCTCTTTAGTTGTCCTAGGGTGTGATTGAACGAATAGAGTAACTGGCATGGTTCGTTCTGATAACTGATTACTAATTACTTATGCCTTAATTATTATGCTATCTTTGATTACCGCAAGTAATCATAATTCATTTTTCACTTTATTCTCTACACTCTTAGTAAATATTTTTTTCTGTCCTTGTGTAGGAATGCACATTTGTTTATTAATCCTTTCATTTTTCTGTCTGTATATGAATCATATATTATCCATATGATTGAATCTGGTAAAATTCCATTAATCTCATGATAGGCTTGTGCTTTATATGTCGGGATCTTGATACAACTAATCCTCACTGTCACTTCTATAGACTGTAGTATATCAGCTTAAAATTACTACAGCTTAAAATCTCATCAATATAATATGAAAAACAAGGTTCGCACTGTGTGAGATGGCTTATGAAGATTTGGTTCTGGACAACCTCAGTGTTCCGATTGAGGTGCTTTCCTTTTTGAAGCCACCATTGAAAGTGTAAAGGTCGTCTTAAAATGTCCTCAAAGTGATACATGAAATGACTTAGTTGTATTTTAGAAATGATGAATATTAGTTCTGCCAATCTTTTTTGTGTTCAATAGTGATTTGTTTGTTGAAAACTATTGAAGATGGAATTCATGTTGCCTGGATACATTTCAGAGTCCCTGTATCACATGTAACCCAATGTGCATGAACTTCAATTAAATAATTTGTATTCATGACAAGGGATACCTGTTGAACTCTGGTTGGTAAAATGATTTATCAAAGCTTTGGGTCACCTTCACGTGTGATTTTGGTGTTTGCACTTTTGTACCCCTTCCCAGTAAACCTTTGGTAAATTTTTCATTCAGCATGTGAATGACATACATTCCGGCTTGTTTGGTTTATGATTTGCTTGATCTTAAGATATTATTAGATTTGTTTTAAGACTTGGTATCATGTTGCTGTAACATAATGGATTGAATTAACAAGGATACTATGTTAAGTTAGAATTTCTTGTACTTATAACTAATTTCTTTCATGTATTTTCACAGGGAATAATCTTGGTATCATTAGAAAACTATCTTATTATCATCTATAGAAGCGATGGATTGAGACGTGTCTGCCCATCTAATTAGCTAATACAGGTGGAGTGTTGTGTCACCAACATCCCCTTTTTTCTTTTGATGAAAGTCAGGTTCTGTTAAAATGCTTCATGCATGGAACTTATGTTTTGCGATATTTATGTATGGTGTTTAGTACGGAATTTATGGAGAGTTGGAAGATATTTTAATGCCATACTATTTATTCATTTCTCTAATATGTGCCCAAACTTTCACCAGCTCTCATCTTCCCCTCTAGTTTACTTCATGCAGAGTTCCTTGAACTGATTCGAGAGATGTAAAGTAATTTGATTTTATATCTATATAAGACTTAGATTTGCATTATTTTTTTCATATCTACATCAAGATTTAAGTTATTTCTTAAGATCATAACGTCAACTAACATTTTGGACGTGATCTGGATATTTCTGAATCAAGATGTTTTCTCAAAGACCATTTGTTATCTTTTTCAATGTATAATTAAATGTCTCAATTGGATATTGAAAACTCAAGATGCATCTATTTCTTCTCATAGTAAATGCCTCAATTAAAGGAACACATTTTAATGACGACAATGTAGTCGGACATGTTTTATACGATCCAATTCGACAACTTTTAATTATTATAAATTTTATTTATTATTTATAATTAAATTCAATATAAGATTTCTTATTACGTATTCAAGATAATCCAGAATTATATTTGTTTTCAAAATTTACTTTAAAATTTATTTCATTTATTTTAGTGATCTCTTAGTTTATCTAGATCGTTTATTAGTTATTTATGTATTTAGCATTCTTGTTTGGGACAAATAAATTTACATGTATATTTGACTATTGATAATGTACACACATCCTGCAGACTTAACCGTTCGAGTAGAGAATAAATCCTAACATTGCCTTCCTTTCATTCTATTACATTTGATAACCTATTTTCTCATTTTGTGTTAGCAGACAACTGTGCATATCTTTGTCAGCAACCTCCATTATATTGCAATGTATTTTCATTGGTCTCTTCTTAGGTATTGTACTGTCACATTCAATATTCGAATTTGATATGAATATCAGATGTCACGTTAGTCATCGAAATGATTCTGAAATATATTTATATATTAGGGGTCGATTATACACAAATAGACAAAAATAATGAACATATCATATTTAAACATACAATAGAAGCCAATACAATTAACATGCGAGAAATAAACCTAGATGTGATACACCAGAACCAATTGTTCAACAAAAGGATATACTACACTAGAGGGATCGTTCACAATGCTATCAACAGTCGTCTCTGAAGGGAAATGCAACGTTGTGTTTAGTTGTTCATCTCACGCTTCGTAAAAATGTATAAACAAATGAGCATGAGAAAATGTCAGTGGAAGAATACATCAACTTTCATCTCAAGCTTTAAAAAAGTAGTTTTTCTTCAGAAAATATATCACTCTTCGATTAATGTTTGCGGATCCATAATAATTTCACAGTTAAGCTTATGAAAACATAGTTGTGATAGACAGATTTTTGCTTGACAATCATAAGGTCTAATAGTGCTCTCATAAATAATTTTACATAAAGCATAGAGAGATTTCTACACTATAATCTTCAGAGACTTTTGCTTCACAATCATTCTTATAGATCTTTTCATAATTTTACATAAATTCGAGTATGGCTCAACTACTTTGAGCCAACTTTCATGTTTTGGACATAGAGGTAGGTCCATGTTCTCGGTACTAGATTGTTAATGCACAAAGGGAGAGTTGGTGGTTCTTGACGTCGGTAATTGTTCATCTCTTTTAATTTGAACGAAGAGTCATTATTTATGACAATCGAAAGGATTTGATCTTTGATCGAAAAGAGGAAGACTCACTATTTAAGTTAAATTCTGATCCAAAAATCATATTTACTTTCAAAGAGTTATTTTCTAAAAATTATCCTACGCTTTCAAATTATGTTACTGTTTACAGAAAAATTATCTTATTTTTGTAGCTTATTTTTTCTACTGATCAAATTACTTTTCATGAAACAAACACGGAAAATATATTAAAAAACATTTTTTTTAAAAGTAATTTTCTACAAAAACACCCTTACTACTCGGTTGATGCACCATTTTGGAGCCTCCAAGTTAAAGGGCATGAGGCCTTGTAGATACTGCATTTAACTTGGAGGCTCCACAATATGTGAGTAGTCCTCATGAACCAAACAGCAGTTCGTGTGAATCCACACAACAACGTTAATATTGCCAAAACATACTCAATTATTCGAAGGACCACAAAAGTAACACAGCTAAAATGTATGAAACATTCATGTACAGCTATACATGTCACTCTTGTCATCACTGAATTGAAACACGCATTCAAATGACCACCAAAAATAACAGAGCTGAAATGTACGAAACATTCATATACATGTCACTTTTGTCAACGCTGAATTTGAAGAATTAATCTGAGACTGTCAAGAACAATAAGACTCGATCAATCATTTCTAAAATTGCTAAAGTTTTCCTCGTTACTGCATTAGATTGAGAGATTATCTATTCTATTATCAAATTAGTCAGGATAATGCTGAAGAAAAGTAAAAGATGCGATAAGACATTCATGAGATTTATTCACTTGTTCATTCTTAAATCAGGGGAGTTATGTCGCAAGGGTGACAGAGGATTCCTCGCCGAATCAGGATCAGTGAAGTCAATTTTCTTCTCAATTGGACTGCACATCTTTGGACTTGATTTCCGCTTGTTTGTCTGCAAGAGGGTCAAGTAAATAATATCATAAAATCAACAAACTAATGATAATGGACCAGAAACATGCAGGGAGTGCACTTATTTTACATGTGAGAACTGAGAACAAGCACTCATGTGAAATACCAACAAAGACGAGAATCCAACGAATTCCTCACTCACCTTTGTAGATGCACTACCAGAATGCTTCCCACCAGAATCGTGAAGGTTCTTTTCTTTGAGGTATTGCCTTAATAATCTTCTGTTTTCCTCATTCAATATATTGTTTTCTTCAAACAGAACTTTGACCTATAGGGATAAAATATATTGTTAAGTTCAAACAAGAGAGGGGAATTTCACGGGCACATGATCTTCAAACTTCTTAGTTCTCACCTCGTCTTCAGCTTTGCAAAGATTCATTCTAAGATGTTCTTTGTCTTTCTCAAGGGTCTTTACTTCAGCAGCCAGTGCCAAAATTTTTTGAGTTGAAGGCCTCAACCTGCAAGGAAAATTAAGCCCAAAAGAAATTGATTCAAGAAATATGTGAGTAGTCCTCATGAGCCAAATATCTACATTAATCAACAAAGTTGCAGATGCAATATCGAAATAAGAGAAGAAAATGCTCACCTATTCCACATTTTAAGTAACCTTTCACATGCTTCAAGGGAATTATTTGCCTCCAAGAATGTTCGCCCACATGTGACTTCATCTTTACATATCAATGTTGATAGAACTGACTCAAGCAAATTCTCTTCCAAAGTAGTTCCCTCAGAAGATGAATCAATCTTCGAGGAAGGTTATATGCTTATCAGTCCGAGATATAGTAGAACTAGACAAAACTATAAATAATGACAGATTTTCTAATCAAATCATAGAGCATCGAAAAATGAAACAATCTCCTATAAGCAGTTTCATTGTGTCCAAGTTATGTCATATCTATCAGCAATACTTCTATCATGCTGCTCGGATAAGTTTAAATCTTTATCTAATTTCCACAAATCAGCAATGAAATCCAATAAAAACTCAATATTTACTACAAGAGAATATCAACTCCACTTCCAAATTATCAACAATACAAAACAAAGTAAAAAAAGATTTAGGGGGGGGGGGAGGAATTTTAATTTACCCCTCGGCTCTCATCATGGCGCTTGTAGAACCTTAACTCTTCAGTTAATTTCTCTAACTCTTCTTCCAATTCATGAGCCCGAATCTCACATTTCTTCGCCCTCTCATCAGCCTCATTCCCAAAATCCATCAACGCCTCCCTATCATGATCATAAAGCGAACACTCTCTTTCCCATTTGTTACACCGAGTCAACAAATCCGCGCACTCCGCCGCAAGTTTCTGATTCTCCTCCACGAATCTCTTCAAAGCCACAGCATTCATATTCGCTTCAGCCTTAAAAAAGTATAAATAAGAACTCCAATAAGTTCACATTCTGAATATAAATACATTAAAAAATTGCTTTATAAAACAGAATTGAGACGAGCAACCTTCGAACGGTCGATGATTTGATCTTTCTCTTTCAATTTCGAGAGGAGGAATATGCACTGGTCACGGAGGCGACGCTGCGCTTCTTCGGTGGAGCGGAGTTTAGATTGCAAAGATTGAGTGGAGATTTGAAGACCCAAGGAATGTTCGATTGTTTCTTTCATGTAATCATCAACTTCTTGAGGAATATCCATGTCTTCGATTACTCAGAAATTTTAGATTCTTGAATAAACCTAGATCTCGAAAACCTTTGAAAAGGTGTGAGATTAGAAGAAATATTTAGGAGTTGGAATTAGGGCTTTTGAAAGGGAAGACGAAAAAGGGGGGATTCCCTTTCTGCTCTTTTTCTTGGATTTCTTTTTCTACTAATCGAACAAATAAAATATAAAAATGTAGCCGTTAGAGTGAGGCTTGTAAGATCACAGCTAGGAGTTATAATGTGCCCCCCACTGATGACTTGGCAATGTCCTTTTTCTTTTTAAATATTCTCTTTCTAATTTGGCTTTATTAATAAACTGCATGCTTTCTTGCGTTAGAAACTTCATTATTATTTATAAACATTAATTATATAAATCCATCTAAAGATAATCCTTCTTAGAGATTATGGGTTCAAATAATTATGTCTATAGATGTATGTATGTGTCCATATTCAAACAGTTATATCTATAGATGTGTGTACGCATACGTGCAGATTTTTAATAATGTGATATTGGTCATTAAGTGTTATCATGCGATGGGAGCTTTTGCATATAAATATAAAGCCTGAAAATATTCCGATAGTTCTGCTATGTGGTAATCTAACCTAAAATTAATTTATAGTGAATATTAGCTTAAATATTATCTAATACATTTTAAAAAATTGTACAATTGGTTAATATTTCGATTACAACTTATAATATTACATTACAGTGAGTTTTAATCTAAAATGTTACCCATCTACCCTAAAATGTTAAACAATTGGTAATAATTTTGGTTACATCTGAGAATATTAATAGTAACTTTTAGGTTGCA